GAGTCCTACGAAACGGTCACTCGGATAGTGTCGCTGAAGGGGCTGCTGGGACTCCCCGGCTTGCCAACGCCTGGATGTAGAGTTTAGTTTAGGGTTTAGGGTTTAGGGTTTAGGGTTTAGGGTTTAGGGTTTAGGGGGGATTATGAATTCAGGCTTTTTGTTCTTGGTTTTACAGGTTTCCTACATAGAATCCGGAGGTTCAGGAAGAGTTCATATGGGGTAAGGGGAAACGATGAGGGTTGCACAGGGGTGTAGGGTTTTGGTGTTTAGGTTCCCGGTTCTTAGGTTTCGCTGCTTGTTAGGATTTAGAGCTTAGGGTGTAGAGTTTAGGATTTGGGGCTGCGCGAGAGGTTTGGGTTTAGCATATCGAGGTTAGGGGTGCTGTTTACAGGATAAGGGCTCGAGTTCTGCAACTGTTGTTCCTTCTTTTAGGCATACTGCGGTTAGAGCAAAGAGTGAGAAGTTGTGACAACTTGACTCAATAGCAGCGAAGATGCGTCCATCCTCTCCGACAAAGTTGAGGAGGTAGTACCTGAACTCTATGGGTAGTTCTGAAAAATCGGGTTCCTGGTACTATGTCCCCAAAAGAAGGCGGCACCCTTACACCAAAGACCCTAAAAAGGGGCGAGAAAGAACTCCCCGTATCTTTCTCAAAGGGTCCGTGTGCCATGCCGCCCTTGAACCCAAGGTTTCTACAATCCTTATGATCGAGGCCAACGTAGGGGCCTTGATGGTGAGAATAATGCTTTGGGCTCCTTATAGTATACATTATGATAAGGAACTTTGAGGAATAATCTTAGCAATTCCTTCGGCTTCCAGCGTAGAGTATGTAGGGTTTAGGGATCCCTGATGCTAGAACGCATAGGGGCCTCATCGTCAGTGCTGCCGTTTGCGATGTTGAGCGTTCGGGTGTTCCGATCTTCACTAATGGTGTAATTGTCTCCTGGCTCCTTCAAATTACGGCTTGAGAAGACAGGCTGCATGCTCTGAAATAACCTGTGTCACTCGAAGAAGGTAGCTTTAACACCTGACATCAGTCTCAGCCCCTTGCACCCCGGAAAGTTAGTAGGTAAAATAGTATAAAGGCTTTAACAATCAAAATAGGGTCATGGCGTTTGTTATACCTTAATTAGAATAAGAAACCCCCAAAACAGTATGGGCAATTATTTAAGGCCCCTACATTGGAATTCCGCAGGTTTAAAGCCCGGGGATGACAAAGCGTAAGGGTTTCCGATGGTTGGAGGCTTACCCTAAGGCTCCATGTACCCATATGGTAAATACTTAAGCCTTACAGTACCTATTTAGGGACCCCTTTAAGGCCTAAGTATCTACTATAAGGGTACATGGAGCCTTTGGGTTGCAGGATTTAAGGTAAGGGCCTCCATAATTAGAATAGGGTTTTGGGCCCCATTATACTACAACCGTAAGAAGGAACACGCAGAAACAAGTGTTAATTAGTGATTATTTAAGCCCCTTTGTTAGGGTTTGCCCACGAATTCAAGAGCGTCGCTTCAAGAATCCCTAAACCCTAAACCCTGAACCCTACACCCTAAGCCCTAAAGCCTGAAGGCCCTAGAAGCAAGTGCAGGAGCGAAGCCCCGCACGTCGGCAAAACCATGCACCAAGTTTCATGGCTGGTAAAGCTACCCATAGGCCAAATAGTAGTTCCTTTTGGGGGGTTCATATTTTCAACCCTATAAGGTAATCTCAAAAAGGAATTACTATGGGGCCTATGGGTAAAGCTACAGGCTGCCTCTTCCCCAAACCCTAAAACCCTAAACTCCTAGCCCTGAACCCCTGTAAAGAAAACCTGTATAAGTCTTGAATCCGAACCCTACTGCATCTCACATCTTCCTTACGGAAGAGGCTTGAGGGGCTTTCTGGTCACACGCCTGGAGAATCATGGGACTCTCATGTGACTTAGACTTAGCAAGTTAGCAAGTAACAGAAGCCGCAGAAGATGTTAGGAGTCTTGATATTACTAGCTACTAGGCCCCTGGAACCCTAGACAACCCCAGAAAAGCCTCGTAGTTGCTTAGTCCCAGGATCCTTCGATTGCCAAGGCACGCGAGAGCCGAGATGGCTAGGGACACCAAACAGGAGCCACCAGAGTAAAGGTGAGCCCAGAAAGGCCCCACCAAGCTCGCATGACCTCGGGGAGGGGTTGAGGATCGTTAAAGGAGCAGGGAGGGCACATATAAGGAACTCAGGGCATGGGGTCGGGTCACCTAGTTTTAAGGTTCAATCTAGAAACCAAACTAAAGAAGATGCAGAACCTTACAGAATTCCCTGATCCTTCAAGTCGGCGAACCGGAACCCACAACAAGGTCAACAATCTCAGCTTTCAAACTGTTGAGTCCCACACCAAAATTCCGGGGTTGTCGGATCGACGAACGGGTTTACTCCACGAACGGGTTTACTTGCCGAGGTCGAGGGGCCAGGGTCTAATCAGGTGAAAGTGCAGGAGTGTTGTGGTCCTCACTGCGACGTTGGTCGTCAACTTACTGATGATAACAAGAGTTGTGGTGCTTGCCGTGGTGGATGCACGGTGGATAACATGCACACTTGCTGCACTGCCCTGTTCTCTGAGTCCACATCGGATCGAATACCCTAATCCTGCAGGACCACTATCCCAAACACGGAAACCTATTGCCCTAACACCGAAATCCTGCCTCTTGAAAGAAACATTCAATCCTAAAGCCAAAAAACGCAAAACCCACAAACTGACACCCCCCCCCCCATATCATAACCCCGCTCGGAAGGATTGGCAACATGCCGCAAAACAGTGTAAAACATACACGCAGCTAGGTTAAGTCCATTAGGGTGGAGTCGTGTAAATTGCCTTCGTTGTGGGCCAGGATGGCGTCCAGGAATCCTGCGTGCCAGGGCCCGGCAACTCATCTTTCTCGTCGGGGCCGTAGGAGCATTAACGACTTCATAAGAGGGTAATACATAAAGGCATACAGTCGTATGTTGTGATTTCTTCGCACACAATACAGCCTCGCAGTCGTGGGTTCCGCCTTCATCATCGTAGCTAGGACCCTCTCCGCGACTCGTTGCCATGCGTAAGGATGTCATATTTTGTACAAATCGAAACCGGGAAACCCGGCAACCCCTCAAGGTTAGGGTTTAGGGTTTAGGGTTTCGGGTTGAGGGTTTAGGGTTGAGGGTTTAGGGTTTAGGGGTGTTCTGATTAATTGGGGCAACAGTAGCTGGACCTTGAAGGGTATCTGTCTTCGGCTGCCTTGCCTTGCGATGATAGGACTCCCAACAGAATAAGCAAGCCAACAAAAAGGAACAACCATTGAGGATTTTGGTAACTAAGTTGTTCAACCCATGTATACGTTACTTTGAAAGGCGCCCGGCTAATCTCCAAGCAGGATCACGTCTTTAGCTATCTCATTTCGCCCTTTTGCTTGTCTTTGTGAATCTAAAATGGTTTTACCTGTCTTGTTGAAGGCCCGAAACCCTAAACCCTAAACCCGAAACCCGAAACCCTCTATGGTCGACGTGAGCTTGCGATGTTGAGCCCGGTGGGTTGAGTCCCTCGCAACGAGTTACAGATGTTGGAAACTTCAGGGTTTTAAGGTTAAGGGCTTTTATAATTGAGGGTTTCAGGTTCATTGCTTTAGGATTTAGGGTTTAAGGTTAAGGGCGTCAGGATTTTGGTTTAAGGCTAAGGGCTTCAGGATTTAGGGTTTAAGGTTAAGGGCTTTGGGATTTTAGGTGTTTTTTAGCGCTGAGGGCCTACTAGGGTCCCTGCTTGGAGTGGTAAGGACGGGCCACGGGTCCTGGAAAGCAGGGTGCAATGCCAAAAGCCACGGCAAGCAAAGGACGCCACTTGACGCCCGTGGAGGAATAGAGCTCCTGCACAATGCTTCGGACAGCTTTCGGAGCGATGGGGTTAGGATTAGGAGCTTGAGCTGCCGCCTAACGCCCTTAACCTTAAACCCTAAATCCTAAAGCCCTGAACCTGAAAACCCTCAGTCATAAAAGCCCTTAACCTTAAAACCCTGAAGTTTCCAACATCTCTAACCTGTTGCGAGGGACTTGGCGTTTTCGCTTCTGGGGCTTGGGTCGGGTCAAGGAACTCGGGCTCAGACCTCATACTGACTCGACGACTGTCACAGTCATGCGGCCTCCGGATCAACTATACATCGGAGCTACCCATAGTAGTTCCTTTTTGGGGTTCATATTTAGAATCCTATAAGGCAATCCCAAAACCCTAAACCCTAAACCTCTATGGGTAGCTCTGCCTGGCCTGACTCATCTCCAGTCTTGAAGATTTAAGGACCGTCACACTTCGAGCAACAGTCCGGCGAAGATTCCCGAAGTTTTCATGATGCGCCACAGGGGTTTAGGGTTTGGGTACCCCTGTGTTGGGGTTTAGGGTTTATAGGGTTTAGGGTTTCGGGTTTAGGGTTTGGGTACCCGGGTGTTGAGGACTCCGGCATCACGCGAGCAGGCAACTAGGTGAGCATTGAGGCTCTCCAGCTTTTTCAAGCGCCAGATGCCAGCTGAAGCCCTTGTTTAAAAACACCCCATGTGCGGAGTTGGAAGTGGAAACTTCTCTTGGAAGGGTCCAACAAAAGCATTCAGCCGCAGAACAACTCCTGAGGGAGTGCAAGCTGCACAGCTTAAGCTGGCACACCCATCGCAGGTTGGGGTTTGAAGTTTAGGATGTAGGGCTCATCGGCTTACGGCTTTTGGGTGTTAGCAGGTTGAGGATCTTATTATAGGGCTTAGGCTTATAGGGTGATGGATGCCCTCCAGCTGAAGCCATCAGCACAGCAGCCATGCAAACTAATTTGCTGTTGCTGACAAACCTGCTTCCTGCTACTAACTCTTGTTGCACATCCCACAAATGTGAAATACGACGGTGATACATGATACCTGAAGCAAAGTAACACTGAAAAATGAGTCTACATCAGCTTAAAACAAAACCTATACAAACCCTGCAGGCACCACAGGGACTCCAGAGACCTGCCCAGGGCCCTCGGCTAGCTGAGCCTCTGGGCCAGGGACCTCCGGTGGCAAAAGCCGGCCAAGCAGATCATCACTCCGCAGTAGATCGCCGAGGCCCAAAGGCTATGTTGAAGAGCTCGAGTGCAGAGTGTGTAGCTGGCTAGGTCGCAGATCATGTAGGCCAAGAAAATCAAGAGCGTCTGAATGTAGTCGCATGCGCACGAACCCATTCTGGGAGACGCAAATCGATCGCAAAGGTAGAAAAGCAGTCTGAGAGACACAAGCTGCGACCCCACGCCGAAGCCGATCAACCAAGCCAAGATTCGAGCCCAAATGAAGTCATAGGGAAGGCCATCCAGCCACATTCCCACAGTGATCTCTACGCCGGGTATCATGGGGATGGTGCTGAACAGCAGAAAGTAAGCGACGGGCACATGGGTGGCCTGCGCGACTAACTCCTTGCGCAAGGCTCCCCGGACGTACCGGTTGAAGGCATCCCTGCTACCGTACCATGCCTCAATCGCTGTGTTGACGAATTGGCTGTCGAAGTCAAGCCGACATTCGGATTTGTCCACATCGAAGTTGGCGAGGCCTTCCACCAAAGTCTGCTTCTCTGCTATGAACCGCCGTAAGGTATGAGCAGCGACGAGCATCGGCAGCAGCGCGATAGGTGCGATCGGAAACGGAAACGTGGCATTTAGAGGTGACTGGATGCCTCCAGCCACGTACATCAGCCAGGTGGTGAAGTAGAGGCTCGTCCACAGTGCAAGGATGGTCACCTCCAGGAAGAGCGGCACCAGCCTGATTCGCCCAGTAGGGTTGGCCGCCCTGTATGCTGCCATCTCGAAGACACACCATTTCCTAAGGGGACCCAAAAACGCACATAAGCAAGCATTCTGTGAGGGATCTCCCTCATACCGAAGCCCAACAAGATAGCCAGATCCCTGTATGATGCTCGTGCTGATGCCCTCTTTGGGTCGCCAATTCCTCGAGACACCCTAAACCCTAAACCCCAAAACCCCCAAACCCCAAACCTCTGAACCCTAAACCCCAAAACCCAAAACCGCTAAACCCCAAACCCCTGAACCCTAAATCCTAAAAACTTCTGGGTCTCCCGGATTCCTCGAGAAGTAAGGTGGAGACCACAAGACTCGCAGCTCCTTCCTTGGAATCACTTCGTTCCAGAATAAGAAGCATATACAGGGTTTAGGGTTTAGGGTTTCGGTATATTCATCTCCTAAACCCTACCAGTAAGTTCGTCCGCATACTTTTTTCGCTTCTACCGATTTGAAATAGAATGAAAACACTATAGTTCTACCCTGGCCCTAAAACAGCATTCCCAAGAGCAGTAAAGCTTCGAGCGTGCCAGGAAGCCTCCCAAGCTGTAAATCCCTCGCAGCATGAGCTTTTCGTCCACCTGGGGCTGTATGGTTTAGGCTTTGTAGGGTTTGCAAGAATCTCGGGTTAAGGGTTTAGGGCAAGTTTAGGGTTTAGGGTCCACCTGGTGGATGCAGACCACGTCCAAAAAGCACTGAGTGCTGCAAACTTGCGGTGAGTAGGCCGCGCAGAGCACCCCGACAAACATGGCTGGGAGGTAGATCGGCATGAGGAAGGGGCCAACATGACAAGTGACGGGGACACCCAGAACTCTGAGGAAGGATGGCGATGTAAATGGGCGTGGCAACACCTCTGCCCAGTACAAAGCAACACTGACAACCAGGAAGCCCATCCAGGACAGCAGCAAAAACATCCAGCCGGATTGCAACAAGAGGGCAAAGACCTTCCACCGACCTGATGTCCTCCAAGTGTGTGACAGGAACACATCGAGCTCAGCCGCATGATGGGATTGCTCCCACAAGGCCTTGCGAGCTTCCTCGGGAAGGTCTAAGGGGGATTTTCGCCAAAGACGGCCGAATCCCCGCAGGGTTTGCCTTAATGACACGCTCCGGAAAATGTCCTCATCGACCTCAAGCTGAGTCAAAGATTTCATCTTGATCCACCCCACGTGGTCCTCGTCCGGCCCCGAGCTATCTGCACGTACTGCTTGAAGCCCTGATGGTCCATCTTTACAATCATCGGATTGATGTCTCCTCGCCAACTGCTCTGTCGCAGATTCGGGACTATCTGATGGATTCTCCGGATTTCCTGTGAGGGTGGCTTGCGTCGGAACTCCCATCTTGCTGCTCTCCGCACATATCATCTCTCCTGGAAGTCTCTGTTCATCACGGCAGCAGCTGCTGTTGGCTCCCATGGCTGCGGCGATCCGAATGGGCCGATCTGATCCTCGAAGCCTGCAGATACAAGTGGTGGCATGCCTGCATGCGTGGATGCACGTGTGTATACACGCATAACTGGTAGTAAGTCTGTCTGTCTCGTCTGTCTCGTCTGTGTGTCTGTCTGTCTGTCTGTCTGTCCTGTCTGTCTGTCTCTCTGTCTCTCTCTGTCTGTCT